GTGTATGAGGTATGTGTACCTAAATGCGGTTACTCACAGATGCCAGAGATATCAGACCTCCTGCAGCTCTGTTGGGAACCAAACTCAGACTCTCTTCAAGAGCAGTGTGTGTTCTTAACTGTTGAGCCATTTCTCCTGAAACCCCACTTGTTTATTGTTTTTGAGACAGGGTCCCAACGTAGCACAGGGTGGCCTCAAACTAGCTATTTATCTGGCCTGTAACCCCTGAACTTCCTGCCTCTACCTTCTTTCTGTGTGTTGGGATTACAGTCATGTGCCACCATGCCAGAATATGGGATACTTTTTTCAGGGCCCCTTCATGTCCGTCAAGCACATGCCTCACAATGCCACATATTTCCTTTTAATAATCTATCTTAAGTCTTCATGATCTTAATCTTAAATCTTGGTGATAGTAATCTGCCTGGGGAAGAAAACCTACATTACAAAATGAGTAACTATAAAGAAATATTGTAGTATAGTAAAACTTACAAAGGGAAAGAAAATGAGTTTAAAAACAACCTCTACGTGTCTACAAAGCCAAGACAGAAAGACCGCACTCTAGTAAAAACGCTCAAGAACTCATGGGGGTTGGGGGGCTGGGCTGTGAGATGAATAAACTGGAAGGGGGGCTTGCTGAACAAGTCTGGCAATCGCTTTCCATCCCTGGAACCCATATAAGGATAGAAGAGAAAACCAACTCTACAAGTTGCCCTCTGACCTCTCCTTGTATGCACTGTCACACGTGAATCTACACACACACACATACACACTGTCTCTCATCGTGTGTGTGTGCAGACACAGACACAGTTATAAAAATTTTAAGGATTATCAAAGGAGACAGGTTTTCTCTTTGGTCCTTGTAAAACTGCAAGTAAAATGTTAAGATGTGACATTTGAAATACTATTTGAATGTGTCGATTCAGTCATCCCAAAGGTTGCTGACACATAGAATGAGTAATTCTTATGAGGGAAGCCAGCCTTTTTTTTTTTTAACCCAAGTTCAGAGACTGTCAACAAGATGGGAAGCTGGCCAAGCTAGCCTCAGGACTGTCAGTTTTGGGGTGTGGCTCTGCAGTGTAAGCAGGCGCCTAGAACTCCACTGGGCAGAGTGGAGAGAGTCAAAGAAAAGAAATGAGCTCAAGCAAGCTTTGTTTTTGTCCTTTTCAGGCATCCTGAGTCACTGAATGCCCAAGACAGTTCCGTTCAAACTGGAAATGTGCATGTGCTCAGTTTTTTGTTGTGTTTTCCTCGAGAGCTGCTGACAATCCAAGTGATGCTGTCAGTTGGACCCAGCCTCTTATAGGTCCAGTGGCAGCTTCCTGTTTCTGTCCTGGGAAAATGAAAGTCCCTTAATTTTCTGTCGTTCTAACCCAACATTGCTTCATGGTCCCTAAAGTAAGCTTAGCCTCCTTTCTACCCACCAATGTTGGGGTCCCATTTGTCACTTCAAAGGACACTTCTATGGGACTTCTCATTCTTTAGGCTGCTATTTTGAATAATTTAGACCCCAAGTGATGATGCCAAACCAGACTGGTCAGAATCCCAGAGAACCACATCCAGGTCTGATCATCTTATTTTCAGGCCAAGATGTCCCCTACACGGGGACAAAGGCAAATCTGAGCCCAGCCCTAACATCCCAGACTGGAACTCTACCCTCCTTTAGGTAGTGTCTACACCCCTGTAGTCCCAGCCTGTGTGCACAGGAGGGGTAACCTGGGGAAAGGGCTCAGCTGTCTTCTAACCAAAATAAGGGCTTATCTTGTGATCTCTCCCCTTTCAGGCCTGTGTGTCCACAAAGAATGAGGAAGTCACTAGGGGAGGAGGTCTAGCTAAGATCCTTCAGGGGAGGGGCCTAGTTAAGATCCCTCTGAAGACTGCCTAGGACAGCATTATGGACAGCACTATGGAGCTGTGGATGACCTTGACTTCCTCATGCCTCTATCAACCCAGTGTTGAAAGAGCTGGGATTACAGGTGTAGGTCCTATACCTAGCTAAGATACTTGGTGCTGAGAATTAAACCAATGGATTCATGGGTGCCCCACAAGTGCTCTACCAACTGAGCTAACTTCCACCTGCCACCTAAAAACTTCACTTAAAATGCCTGTTTGTTTTGAGACAGGGTCTCACTATGTAGCCTTGGCTAGCTCAGAACTCTCATAGGCCAGGCTGGCCAGTCCGCCTCTGCCTCACCATGCCCAGCCTAAAAATACATTTCTTAAATTCAAAGGGATATTAATCTGCCAAGAGTTTGCTAGAATATGACTGCTTTGGGACATGTGCCGTCTCTGCTATCCCTAGCCCAGATGCTCACCTGGTACTGGGTCCAGGGGGATCTTGAAGGCAGGAAGGTCTGTCTTGTATGGGGACTAGAAGTTATGGGAGCTAAAAAACCTACACAGTTCGCAGTTAAGAGATGAATGGCTGCATAAGTGTTTATTGAATACAGTGCCAGGTTTATAAATAAAACTTATTTACAATTTCCATAGAGTTGGTCCCCCATCAGAGAGGTGGTTAAATCTCCCAAACAGTTTATCTCAAGATTTACAGAACGTTCAAGTACATCTCTTTTTCAAACAGCCACAGTGAAGGGTGACTTCAGGAACAGAAGGACCACTGCCATCCATCCTTGCTATAGGTGTTTAATGAACATTGTAGTTGGTCTAGGGAAGAACACACATCCCTGCCTTCTTACCCAAAGGTAGCAAAAAGTTTGTCATCTACAGGACAACTTCAAGGGATGTTTTTTTTTTTTTTAAAAAAAAAAAAAAAAAGTAGTTGACTGTCAGCTGGGATTGGTTAAGACACAGCAGTATAAATCTGGTGGTTGCCAAAGAAAAGTATTTAGAACACACAATAAATAATTCTAATGGTTAAGATAACTGAACTAATTAGTCGACTTGCCCAAATTTATTCTTTGTTCAAGAAGTTGTTCCTAGGATGCTGAGGGTGAATGATAGATGCTTAGATGCTATCCCTCTTGTGTGATAGTAACGCTAGGCCTACTGGACAGCCATTCATTACAACATGGTTACAAGTTGGACATGCACTTATAAAGAGAATATAAAACTATGTACAACAGCTCACCTTCAATGTGTTTAAGTTGCTCAAAGACACCAATTAAAGTGTGCAAAAATTTGTCAAAAAAAAAAAATCAGAAAGCCTTCCCTGGCAAATTGCATTAAAGCTCATCAGAACTATCAAGTTGTTTGTCTTACTCAACAGCTCCCCTGAACAGACGGAGAACAGGTAACACAGCTCTTAAGAGGCGTGCCAAAGACTTGGCAGTTTCTTAGGGTAAGTCTCAGGCTAAAGCAGGATGCCAGCTAATTAGTCACTTTATACATATATATATATATGTAAATATATGTATATATTTATAGAGTACTTAAGTGAGGGTGTTTACAGGAAAGTGCTGACTCCAGGGGTACACTGCCTTGACACCCATCTCTTCCCCCTCACAAGCTCAGACTGCTAACACCAAGCCCTGGGCTGCTTGTGCTCCAGGGATCAGAAGGAAAGGCTGAGGAGGTGGAGGAGCTCTTCCTCCCACAGCTCCAAACTTCTGGGCTTCACATTCCCTGCGGGTTAGGGTTTCTGGTTCCCATGCAGGATTCCTGACCACACAAGAATCCTGGTTCAAAGGTAGCCTTTTGGGACAGGCTGAGGCTGCTGAAGTAGTCTACCCAGCTTTCTAGAAAGACTTGGTAAAAGGTAAAAGATAGGAGGTAAGTTTTTAAAAAGTCAAGTCACCTCCAACTTCCTTTGAAACTACCAAGAGCTTAGACCACAAGCCTGAGGCAGGGTCCACAGCTGGGCAATTCAATCTCCTTCCAAGACACAGCCACTGCCACTCACTTCACTCCAGGGACCCTCAGTGCTCTTACCAGAAGGGAACCCCCAAGGTATGTTAGGGATACCCAACGGTTCAGAAATTAAAGCCATTACAGCTCATCAACTAGTCTGCCAACCAGTCCGAGGGCCAGCAGAAGCACACAAGCAAAGCCTTCCTCTCCACAGCTCTGACCCACCCCTCTGGCAGAAAAAAAAAAAAACAAAACAAAAACCAAATGCTAAGGAGCTACAAAACACCAGAGAGGCAGGGAGTAGGAGAGGTTAGAAGAGCCAAGGGTCTACGTATTAGCCCTGAATGCACCCGTTTGGCTGCTAAGGGCTTCTCGGTGCTTGCTACAAGCCTGCCACTATTCCCTACCACCCCCACATTCAGAAGCCAAAGCTCCCTGCTAATCAGACACAACCAGTTGACACCCTGGAAAAATGTATGAGGCCCTTGTTTCAAAAATGAGCTCTGGACTAAATGTAACACACTTCTAAGTTGGGGGGGAGGGGTGATTTCTAAATAGACCAGTACCAGCACGTCTTGAGTTTTGGTTACAGGTTTATAATTAGACACAAAATTCACTCTGAGCTATAGTTTTGCTTTTTGGGTTTTTTGTTGGTTTTCCTTTCAAGCCAGAGGCTTAAGCGTTAGTTCTACTTACAGGGGGGGGGGGGGGGAAGTCAGTTAAAAAAAAAAGTGGAGAGGCTAAAGGTTATCATTCATTAAAAGCTGATTCAAGGTGACAGGCAGTGCCTCTGACTGGATACTGCTACCACATACACAGTCAAGATTGAATTACAGACACACTCATCACGTCTTCTGCAGCTGGCCTCACAGGGTCAGCAGCGCGGCTGAGAACTAAACGCACACTTGGGAGAGGCTGATCCTCTCTAAGTTCTCTGCCTGAAAAGCTCGTCGAGTGACGGGATTTGCGTGTGAGCATGAGTGCGCACACGGAGAGAAAACATACAAGACTTACGTGGCCATAGATGACAAAGCAATCAGCGTCTGCCTGGTGTCACCAGTTGCTGCTAGGGAGCTTGGGAGGGAAATTCAGTTTACACTGGATGATGGGCACGTTTACATGCGTGCTGGCCTCCCCTCCAGCTGCCCTGTCCTTGTCCCCTTTAGATCTCAGCTTTACAAAGCATTTAACACCACTTTTAAGTTAATGGTCTTTTTATTGGAAAAAAAAAAAAATAAAAGACTAGCATTTACAACTTGGAATGGACGTTAAATTATAACTTCCTGAACAGCAATGTCGATGGTTGTGCTCCAGTCCACAGCCACAGCCTACTCTGCTGGCTCCGTCAGGGTTCGCAAGGTTTGAAAACAGAGAGTCCAAAGATGCTCCCTTGGTAAACATTTCTTATTAAAAATTTGTGTGATCTGGTGACATCCTTGATGTTCATTTCACTCTAGTACAATGCACACAACACTAAACCATCATACTGGGGCATGCCACCGGGGTGTCACTGTCACCAAGGGGTTGGAGCACTTGAAGTACTTCTGGGGCTGTGTCTCCAAGTTTAGCCTTTACCCATTTTCTGCACATCATCCCGAGGTAAACCAATTTTAAATGTTTACGGTAAACTGGCTACTGACAATTTTTATCCCAACAAATTGTAGAACCCATCTGAGGTTTTGAATTTGTTTTTTTTTTTTTTTTGTTTTTGTTTTTGTTTTTTTTTTTTTTTCTGTTTTGGTTTTAATACAAAGGCCTGACTGTGCTCAATCGTCAAGCTGCATGCATGAGAAACTGGCCAGCCCAAACAGTGTATTAATCATTAGCAAATGGAACTTTAAGGAGTCCACTAGGTGGTTCCTTAGAAGGTAGTATGAGTATTTATGCAGTGAAACTGATGGGGGCTTGATCTTTAGGGGACAGGACCACCAACCAATACATGCAGATTTTGTGTGGACAGAAGGTACGTTTGACATTCAGTTTTGCTAGATAGAAACAGAATGAATAAATGAACTTTTTTCTTTTTTCTTTTTTTTTTTTTTGTAAGAGGTAAGTAAAAGATTTCAATTTGATTCTTCTAGAGGGAAAAGTAGTTGAAAGTGGGTCTTCATTTTGCAGTCATCATCTGTACGAATTCTGAAAAGACAAATATCATAAAGTTTATCTTCAAAAGAAGCTGTAATGGACACATCTGCTGTGAGCAGGACAACCGGTGGCTGTCCACAGCAATCGCTAATTTGATGTGCACAGACCTGAAGGCTACTGAAAACCAGGCTTGAGAAGTTTAGCTTTACCTTCATAGTTGACTTGTCCATCTCCATCAATATCTGCTTCTCTGATCATTTCATCTACTTCTTCGTCTGTTAGTTTTTCTCCTAAGTTTGTCATGACGTGGCGCAGCTCTGCTGCGCTGATGTAACCATTCCCATCCTGTCAACACAGGAGTTGTTACAAGGTAATGGTGGTAGAAGTTCTGGGAGAGCAAGCAGCTCTCTAACTCAACTTGCAACACTCAGACCCTCTGCCGACTCTCTTCTCATCAGCGTCTCTCCCATCCCCAGTTCCCACCAGGCATCAAACACAGGAAGAATGCACAGGGGGGGGGGGGTTTCAAAAGCAGACACACACCAAACATAGCAAAGACAGCGGTCATTCAGCATCTCTCTCTGCTGGGCCTCATCTCAGCCAAGTCAACACAGTCACTCACAGGAGTCAGGTGGGAGGCGCTGACACTCAGGCTAACTAACCAGCCAACAGTTCCAACTTTCAGCAGTGACAGCACAGAGGGCCATGTCATGCCCGTCTCCAAGGGTGCAAGATTACCTTGTCAAACACTCGGAATGCCTCACGGATTTCTTCTTCACTATCTGTATCTTTCATTTTTCTAGCCATCATGGTCAAGAACTCTGGGAAGTCAATGGTGCCATTCCCTTTCATGGAAAAAAGAAAAGGCTCATTTAAGGTAAGCATCATACTGATACTCCTGATACTGTACCAGATGCCCGGGCAAACGCATTCAGTAGGATTCAAGTGATAACTAAAATGATGAATTATTGTGTTTTGTTAAGTCAACCTTCTGCAGCCAAAATGTTCAAATACCCTATAGAGCAATGTCATATGACCCAAGCTACTAGGCAATGCCCAACACAGCATTTATAGGTGCAAAGGAAGCTGCACCTCTTGATTCAGGATCAAGAAAGTACACTTGACAGTTCAAAGGAAAAGGAAGCATGCAATTGCTTGTTCAGGGAGAACATTCAGGCCTAACTAATACTGTCCTAGAGATGTACAGAGAGGAAAAAAAAGAAATGAGAATAAGGTAACAGTCTACGACCCCCTGGCCAGTCTCCCAAGTCTTCTCCTAGAGGCCCTTCCAGCCCTACTATATAGGTTATCTGGCCATGTTCCTACCCAACTTGGCTTTTTGGTTTTGTTTTGGTCCTGGGGATTGACCCCAGGGCCTCTCATATGCCAAGTACACACTCTTACTCCCAAACTCCCAATTCAGCATCTTCATTTTCCATGAAGGAAAAAGATCAGAAGCTATTTTCAGTTTAGGATCATTACTGTTCAGGAAACTGTCAGAGGAATCCACTCAACAGCCAACATTCCAAAGACTCCTCTAAAGCTAAGAGATAAATATTCCCAAACACAAACCCCCACAAACCCCAGATTAATACCAGCCTGAATTAAATGGAAAAAGAAATTACAAAAAAAAAAAAAAAAACCAAAAACCAAAAACGTGTCCTGGGTTCAATCCCCACATGGCAACACCAAAATCCCTGGCATTTTTTAAGATATTTAAGACAAAAGAAACAACTAAGTGCTATCTATAAGCATCTGAAGATAGCCTATAAGCATTTGAAGATAGCCTTAGGTAAAGGCTTGAAACAACTCTCACTGTGTTTCATACAATCTGACTATCAAATATACTCTCCCTACCAAGCCTGGCTTCCCAGGATTTACATAAAACGGGAAAGGCCCAACCCATGCTCCCATATGCTCAACTAGACAAAATTCAGGACTGTTTTTCATAAAGCAGCACTGAGGAGGATAATCTTCAGCGGTGCCAATGGGCACAGAAAACCAAGTCTATCACAACATTCGATGGTGCCATATTTTTCTAATGGTTCCTCTCACAGCAGCCGTCTGCAAACAACAGCTTAGATCCAACTCTGCCTTCTTAGCTCCTTTGAAATTGTCATCTATAGTCTTAGGACACACATTCCTGAATGCATGTGCCTTTTCAACAAGAGAGAGACTGCCTCCAAACCAGTCCACCAATAAAGGTGGCAGTAAGAGCTCTGCTGTCTGCAGCTGTCCTCTAGAGGATGGACAAGGACTACCATGGGGAGCTGCTGGTTCTTCCAGCCCTGAGCCTCACATAGCCTCCCTTCTCTCACATTCCACAAATGTGCCTTCAGACACCACTCAGTTCCCAGCTAACGTCCAAGGGTGCCCCCTTGACCCACCGCCCTCAGGGACTCTGCTTCCTCTTAGAAACAGCAGCTTCTTTAAAAAGCAGGCTCTCTGGCTACTCCTTTCTACTTCCCCCACAGGACTTGGTGCAGACTCGGGGGGGGGGGGGGGGGGGGCAGCTGATCAAAGACTGTAGCTGTAGGTCCCAGTAAGAAAGAAAGAAAGAAACGAGGGTGATCCGGTCCAGGAAACACTCTAGACAACAGCAGAGTCAACTGAGCAGCAAGCCCACAATCTTGTGTTTTAAAGTCAGGAGGCAGCTGTGAGGCAACCAGAGAAAGGAACCCTGCATATCTGCTTTGCTCTAGGGACCTTAAAAACATTCTGTAACAAGTCTGAACTTGAATTACACAACACTGTTGCTCATTCGGCTCTAAAGCCCTTACCATCAGCATCCACTTCGTTGATCATATCCTGCAGTTCAGCTTCTGTTGGGTTCTGACCCAGTGACCTCATGACAGTCCCAAGTTCCTTTGTTGTGATGGTGCCATCACCATCTTTATCGAATAGGGAGAAAGCTTCCTTGAATTCTGAAAGGAGAAGTTTCCTCTTTAGAATCAATGTTTCCACCCAACACTGTTGTGACACACACTTCCCTGGGGCTTGCCAAAACAAGCTGTCCAAGTATCAGAAACCACCTGGCCTTTATCTCGTGAAATAATGACCAAAGGCCTGTGGGTCTGGCCAACACACAGTAGCCCAGAAAGCAAACACTGTCTTGGTAACTAGTTCAATAAAGCCACAATATCCTTTTTTTTTTTTTTAAAGCTAGCTTAAAAAAAAAAAAAAAAAAAAAAAAAAAGCTAGCTTAAACATAAATGGTTGTCAAGTGTAATCTGAGACTGCCGATTTACCAGTTACAATAAAGTCCCTTCAAAGAAAGTCCTTTCATGTCACACTTTTATAGCCAGGATGAAACCTTGTTTTATAGCAACATAGTTACTAGAAAGGTTCACTAAAGGCAGTCGGCACCTTCTTTTGTCACATTCAAGACATTTTTCAGAATTCCAGATTTCCTAAAAGGAACTTAAAAAAAAAAAAAAAAGATTTCATGTGCAGGAGTGTTTGCCTGGATCTACATATGTACACCAGTTCCCACCTGGTGTCTGCAGAGATAAGAGGATGGTACTGGACCTCTTCCAACTGCAGTTACGGACCATTGTAAATTAGCGCATGGACCCTGGGAACCTAACTTGACTTGACCCCTCTGCAAGAGCAATTAAGTGTTCTTCCCCACTGAGCCATCTCAGAAACCATCTTAAAACATCAATATAGAAGCATTAAAAAGGTAAAGGTGCTGGGCATGGTGGCATGCTGGAGGTAACTGCAGAAGATCTCTGTGAGTTCAAAGTCAGCTTGGTCTATAGCAAGTTTCAGGACAGCAAGATTTACAAGGGAGACTCTTACTTCAACACAAAGACCAAAAAACCTGACCCCCCCCAAAAAGAATAAAGACTAAATTAATGTAACTCATTTCCCAAATATTACTGCACTGAATTTACCCATTCTCATGTGTTTTAGTATTGCAAGCAAAAGCTTTCCTAGTAGATCTGTGGCCTAAAAACTCTGGAGGAGCAGGGTCGGGAGACCTTGTTCTACGCACAGCTGTGTGCACCCCCAGTGTGCCAGCAGGCAGGGTCCACTCCATGCCATCTCTGTCCCCGTTTCTGCTCAAGAACTCTTAGAAAAATCAAGCAGAGAGTAGAGGGGAAGGGATGGCAGAGGAGACACGAAACATGTCAGCCTAGTTACAGGTTCATAGGGCCGGCCCAGTCTTCAACTTACCAGCAATCTGTTCTTCGGTCAGCTGATCAGCCTACATGGAGAAAGAAATGGTCATCATTCAATCTAGACAGGTTTGGTTGATTAATAAGCTAATCTAGCTTTCCTAATTATACTTTAAATTTGTGGGGTTTCTTTTCCAAATCAATATTAAAAAAAAAAAAAAAAAGACCAAATGTTTCAAAATCATTAGCACTGACACTTAGTGAAAGTTACTACAATACAGGAAAAGTGTTTAGGCTCGCTTAACAATAAAGAGTGACAAAGTGACAGCATCTGCTGGCTTCATTTCTTTGGCCTTGCTAGGGCTTGCAGTAAGCAAGCACTGGATTGCCAACCAGTTATGTGGGAGATGGCGCCTCTAGTGGTCAAAATACCCACAGCACCAGCTGCAGCAGCAAACAGCAGCAGGCAGAGAAGGAAGAGCGCCACCTACTGCGCCATAAACACTGCAGTCGCTGGTTCCATCCAAGAGACCCAACCCAAGGCCACTGACAAGGCAGCCAGGACCAGGATCCTGGCCAGGGGCAGGCTTTTAAGTGCACCTTGCGCATAGCTTCTGGCCCTCCAAAATCTCCACACTGGCGTTACATAATGGTATTGGGTTGGATTAACAGGCTTTTATACCCATTTTATGAGAAACAATTAAGTGAAAAATAAAATACAGTAATGGGTTACCCCAGTTTCATGTCTATGAAACAAATGCTTTCCAATCATTTAAATTAGGCATTTATTTGCTAAAAGCCTACCATTTACAATGGCTAATGCCTTTGGTCAAATTATCCTGTGTTTGGAAAGCCAGGAAAAAAAAAAACTGACTATTACAAAACTGCAAAAAACGAAGTACACAGAAAACAATACACTTATGAGGCAATATGACAGCCCTTTCCTCGTGTACAGGAGTAACTATTATCATTTCCTGGTATTAACACTACCCATCTTAAGATGAACAGAAAAGCTGCTTATCGCCAACATTCAGTATTCCCATGCACTAAATGGCCACAAAGGTAGTTTTTACTACCCTTGAACCTGTGCCTCCAATCAGGGGAACTCGGGATCTCGAGGAGAATATTTATTTTTATTTTAATGAAGCCAGTTACAAAATAAACCCCAAGAAAACCCGATGGCACCGAAGTTCATTCTTTTCAGTGGAAACTCACCTTATATATTGATTTGGGTGAGGAAGAACTTTCTGGTTTTTATTTTTTTAAATAGGTCTTCCCTTCTATCCATTACTGGAAGCTACTTTTAAGGCAAATGGAGGCACGATGATTTATGTAATGCCCAGCCATGTCAGTCTGGTACAATAGGAAGCACTCACTGCCACACCTCGTAGGAGAAAACTGTCAGCTCACTAGGGAGATGAGTCCCTTCTACCTCTTCGAAAAATTCTGACTAGAGGCCTATCAAGTGCATCTTCCTTCAGGACAACGACTCCCCCCCACTCCCAAGTCATTCTGGCCTCGGGTCAAATGCGTTCCAGAACCCTGCCAGGAACGATCTAGCAGCCCCGCCAGGGCAGAAAGTGCTGCTGGTGATGTCAGCTCTGCCTGGCGAGGGAGAAGGGGCCATGGCACACGCACCCGGCCAACCGCACAGTCGCATCTGGCAATCCAGAGGCTGTAGAGAAAGCGGAAACGTGGAGATGGGCATCTCCCTGCCGCCTAGGGAGTGGCGTGAACAAGGGGCACACAGGGATAGGGGCCGGACTGGGGTGCAGGCCCAAAGGGGGCCCCAGGACGGAGGGGTGCTTGCTGCCTATCCCCGGCACCTCCCACCGCTCCTGCTCCCCTAGGCACTGAGCCTGCCGCCGCCTCCTCCCTAGCAGAAACTTTGCGTCTCTAATGGAAACCGTGGCGCGCGCCAACTCTCTCCTCCCCCGCCCCGCCGCCCCAATTAGCGCGAGCCGAGCGCCTCCCGCGGGAAGGGGCCTCCCCGTGGACCCGGGCGATCGCGCCCGCCTAGCACCGCACCGGGAGGGGGGCCGAGGTTGCACGGCCCGGCCACGCGCGCGGCCACCCCGCAGGGCCCCGCCCGGGTGCAGGGCGGCCGCTTCCGCCCTCTCCGCCCCCCAGGCTTCGCCTTCCTGCCCCCAACCCCACCCTTCCCCGGCTCCTTCCTTCCCAGCTCACGCCCGCGCCGCGCCCCCCGGGAGGAAGGAGGTGGCCGCGGCCGAGGGAGGGTGCCCAATTGGGTCGGCCAGGGGACTGAAGGTGGCTGAGGACGCACCAGAGCCCACGGCCCAAGCCCTGTGTCCCAACCGGCTCGCCCCGGCCCATTCATTCTCCACGCCTGGGCACTGGCTATCGGGACGCCGCGGCCTGCCCCACCCGGTTCCCCCGCCCCGCCGGCCCCGGCCGAGGAGCTGCGCTGCAGGCTGCCCGGGTGCGGCGCGCTGGATGCAGTGGGTGCGGGGCTGGGGGAGGGGGGATGCGGAAGGCCCCGGTGCAGCTGTGGCGGCGGCTCCAGCCTGCGCACAGCCCACGGTAGAGTCCAGCCCCAGGGGCGTTCAGAACTCAAGAGGAGGATCCCTGGCAGCCAAAGCGGAGATGCAAACTCGAAATGCATCCTTTTTAACCGCAGCCGCTGCGTAACACCCGGCGAAGAGGGGTGGATAATCTCAGCTACGAAGGGGGGGGGGACCCAAGAGTCAACCACAAAATCTGTTTAGAGAGCTTGGGCAGCTGCTACGCCTGCGACTGCCGATCCCGACCTACCATGGTGCGAGCGAAGGAAGGAAGAGCGGAGCAGGCGAGGGTGGCTGCACTAGCGCAGGGGCTCTGACCGCCGAGGTGCCTCCGCGGCTGCTGCTGCTGCTAACGCGCTACCTGCGCTCTGCGCTGAGCCTCGGCCGCCGCCCGACTGCGAGTAACGGCACCGCGAACACGAGACTCCCAGCACCACTGCCGTAGCGCGAGCCTGTGTGCCGCGATATATATATACACGCTGCGCCGTATCCCTCCGCCGCGGCAGTACCGCCTCGCGCAGGGCGGCGCTGCGGCAGCCGGGCCTCACCGCAAGGCCCCGCCCCCCCCAGGCGCGCCCGGCACGGCGGGCCCATTCCGCGGGCAGGGGTCACTGGGGAGCCCAGGACTCCGGCGTGGGTGCTGGCCTGTTACAGTAAGGGTCCTGTGGGGATGGAATCCCTCCGTAGCGAGACCTGGGGCCGGCCTCGGTCTCCCAGCCCTGTGCCAGTCGCCTAGCACCACTCCACCTGTGTGTCCCCCTACTCCTGGTGGCTGTAGGGTCGCTGAGCCACAGTCCTGGGTCCCCACCGGCCCCTTGGTGCCCGAGGATTGGGAGCTGAGGACGGCCGCGGGGAGGAGTGGGGTGGGGGGGATCAACCTCACACTGAGCTGCCCAGGAGAGTGGAGGGTGTGAGGACAAAGGTGCATGGCCTTGGGGAAGAAACGGGTTGGATGTTTTACCTTCTCATTTTGGAGAACTGTCCCCGGCACCTTTGCTAAGTCTGGGTCATATTTACATGCTCAACCAGTCTAGTTTTCGTGTTTTTACATTTCCACTAAAATTTTAAAGATGCGTGAAGATTTGTCCCCTGCTGGATTTGTTCCTTTTTTTTTTTTTTTCCTGAGGCAAATTGTATTCGGCCTGCTTCTAAAATTCGTGCAGTGAGCAGCTTAGGCAAACCTTAAAACCCGTGCTTTGACTTTTTCCTAATTGTCCTGGTCCTGAAAAATTCATAAATTCATATTCACAAAGGAAGGAAAAGATACTCAGAATCCCTTCAATTACAGCTGGAACACGCACAGCCAATTGATTCTAGTGGGGGAGTCGACTATCTTAATTACAATCTTAATTATAATCCTTAAATAATGTTTTAATCTTTAAATTTACTATTCTCCATTCCCTGTAAATTGGGGGTGGGGTGGGGGGAGAGACAAAAACTTTCAGGTCTTAATTTGGAGCCTGGGACTTAAAAAAAAAAAAGGCTGCAGTTTCTTTTCTTGCCAAGACAGAGCACAGAAATTGATCTTTTGTTTACAAGGCCAGGACAAGTTGCAGGTCATTTATTTTTTTCAGAAATTGTGGCAAAATATGTGATTGACATTCTGTGCTGGGAAAGACTTTTGGTTGTACTCCTTCCTTGGCTTTGGCAGTCTCCAGATAGGTGTTTTAAAGTAACAGGAAATGTCCCTGCACAGTGCAAATGCCAGGGCCCTTCTTAGGGTTGCCTCAGACAGGGTGTCAGCAACGGCGGACCTGTGCTTCATAGTGTTCTTTCTGGAAAACTACAGAAAGGGTGGACCTGCTGTGTAAGGAGCAGCAATAGCAGCAAGTCTGAGAAGGTGCTGGCTTCCCTCTGCAAATGGTTTAAAAACCACTCACAGACACACACTACCCCCGTGTTCACAGAGAAGAACAGAGACCAATGCAAAGTGAGTTTAAAGCATATTGAACAATCCCATGGATTACATGGCCAAGCTCATTATCATAAGTGTTTCATTCCTAAGGGAATTTGTATTTTTTTTTCTATCAGGCTTTTCATAAGGAAGTTAGCTAAATGCATTTTAACATATGCAATGATAAGGGAGAAATAATGGCCTAAAAATGAAATATGTTTAATTACTGAGTATCTTTTTGTTTCTGGTGGTCTTCAATCCCTTATCATTATTTTGGTTACATAGTTACACTCTATGGTTTTACAAAAACCAGCCAAATATTTTCCTATGTCATTTAACTGTTTCATTAAATAAAATGTTTTGAAACATTTGCATGACTTTACTTGCTAAGCACCATTCATCTTAAAGTTATTTTAATCATAGAACAATTCTGTGTGCTCATATTTTACAAATGAGTGCTCTTTTGGGATTCTTTAACATATTAGCTTTCAAGTGTAGTGGGTTTGTAATGAGGTCATGCTTTACACAGTTTTACGGCTAGTTTCACACACTGAAATATAAGAAGGTCAAGTGACTTGCCCAGGATCTTCCTGAGAGTCGGTGATTGGGCATAAACTAGAGCGTGAGTCTTTGCTTGGGGCTCTAATATTAGATTGTATATTAGTGAAATCAGTATCTGAAAATTTAAAGATACAATGTTAAATATTTGCCTATTTCAGAGGTCAGGCTCTCTGGCTGACAACTTAGGTCCAGTGAGTATGTGTGTCCCAGGGAATTGCCTTCCTAATTTATGAAAAGGTCAGCAATTAAACAAACAAACAAAAACCCACATTATGGTAATACCATAATGTACCAAGAACCCAGAAGCCTATGGAACATTCTGTGATATTAAGACAATAGTTCTATGTGAAATTATTTAAAGCAAATAATGTTAAGTAGAAAAGAAGCAGAAAGAATGGAACCCCAGGCCAGGAATCTCAAGACTGCCCGGTGCCAAGCCTCAGCTTTTCTCCATGACCCCTTCAATCTAGCTCTCATGCTGCCAAAGTCAGGACCACATGGGAGATGCTTAAACGTTGCCAGGTTTGGCTGCCAGCTTGAGACGCAGTGCTGGCCCCCCTGGACCACAGCTACTGAGTGCTGACACTAAGGAAATACTTCCCAGAAGGTTTTTGCCTCTGCAATGCTGGTGTCTTCTTAACCATAGCTGATTTCTCCGTACCAGGTGAACAGCACTTATCTGGAGACAGGACCTCAAAACTGGAAAACGGATTTGAGTCAAGCAAAGAGTTCACTTCCACTGATTCATTTTTTAAAAATTTAGGTTTATTTATTCTACTTTACATGAACATAGGTGCACCAGACGCTTTCCTGCCGGATTCCATGAAACTGGGGTTACAGAAGGTTGTGAACCACCATGTGGGTGCTGGGAATTGAACCCACGTCCTCTAAGAGAGCAACAAGTGCTCTTAATTGCTGAGCCATCTCCCCAGCCCTTCCATAGATTCCTAATTTAAATACATCACACAAGCAGCCCCAGTAGCATCCCTGAGCAACTCTCAAACTGCGCTTTGGAAGGTTACAAGCCAGGCCTTGACCATCTGCGTTTTTCTCAATATCTTATCTTCCAAGTACTTACAAAAAAAAATCCCATTGAACCCGGAGTACTCAACAGCTTTTCCAGCTCAAAGTTCCAAATGCTTCTACACCTTCCCCAAAGCCAATATGGTCAGGTTCATCACAAACCCATCTCTTAAGTATCAATTTCTATTCTAACTTGTTTTCTGTTGCTTCAATCGATAAACACCATGATCAAAATCAACTTGGGAAAGAAAGGGTTTCTTTTGATTACCTGGTTATACAGTCCATCAGTGAAGGATGCCAAGGCAGGAGCTTGAAGCAGAAACCAATGGAGGAATGCTTCCTCAGGCCAGCTACCTGAGTGCTCTACTAACATTCCTACATGACCCCAGCCCACCTGCTTAGGATGGAACCACCCACAGTAGACTGAAAACCTTTCACATCAACTAGCAATTAAGAAAATGCCTCACAGATCAATCTAATTGGGCCGTCTCTTCCGCTGGAGTTCTCTCTTCCCAGGTACTCTTGTTTGTATCAATGGATTGCTGAAGTAACTGTGACACCACCCTTTTGCTCATGGTCATGGACATGCAACACAACAAGATGGAGCCAGGGATAGGATTCAGAGAAATAAATGGCCTGACTTGGACCTCATCATCTCTATGCTTTAACCAACTGAGCTCTTAAGTCACAAGCAGCCCGTGGTTAGAGAGACTAGGGAACTTAGTATTATGAATCAAGAGAGTAAAATGCCCAATGGGATAAGATAGTTTTGTTCTTCTGTCGTCTATACTGAACTCAGCCTCCTTTTAAAAGAGTTATGTGACATGTTGTATAACGTAGCGTTTTTGTTTTTGCTTTTTGTGAGAGTCTTGCTATGTAGCTCAGGCTGGTCTAGAATTCTCTGTGTAACCCAGGCTGCCCTTGAACTTATTATCCTGCCTCTGCCTCTGGAGTGCTGGCATTAGGGGTATGCTACCAAGACCATTCCTTTAAATCATACTGCTTTGGAAAGAATTAAGCAACCACTTTCCTTATATTTCAAAAGCCAAATGCAAAATTACCTTGAATCAGTATTCAAATCATAGTCAGCAACTTATCATGTCTACCAAATATGCTGGGGGTAGGGGTCTCACCATAGCCCAGATTTATGACAACAGGCTTTCAGCAATTGTTTAGTTGGGTTTAGTAGGGTTGTGTGATGTGGGATAATGGTCTTGTACACTGTAAAGATTTGTCACTTGTATTGGTTTTAATAAAATACTGATTGGTCAGTATCCAGGCAGGAAGTATAGGCAGGGCTGCCAGACTAAGAGAATTCTGGGAAGAGGAAGACAAAGAGCCTGAGTTGCCAGCCAGATGCAGAGAAAGCAAGATGTGAATGCCTTACTGAGAAAAAGTACCAAGTCATGTGGCTAAACATAGATAAGAATTATGGGTTAATTTAAGCTGCAAGAGCTAGATAGTAATAAGCCTGAGCAAAAGGCCCAACAGTTTATAATTAATATAAGCCTCTGGGTATTTATTTGGAACTGAAAGTCTGTAGGACAGGAGGATAGGGCAGGACAGAAACTTTCATCTACAGTTGTATGACCACAATCAGCTGGGATGGCGGGTTTTTTTTTGGGGGGGGGGTATAGTGAGGTAGTCCTTCTGTAGCACTGACCACGCCCATTGGGGGTGGAGCGATGGGCGGAGGTGACCTGAGGAAGGAGGTCGGAGGGGGGCCAGGAAGGCGCTCTCTCTTTCTGGCGTGACTCGGACAGGAGAGGATCGGGTTGAATTTCCTGGTGTTCATCTGTCTAGGTTGTAAGTTATTTCTCCCTGAATAAACATCTATTCGGCCTATTTGTTTATCCTGATCCTTATTTACCGCAATAGGGGGGTGACTCAGTTTGCCTTAAGAGCAGAGTTAGAGATTGGCACAAGCTGGGATGTCCCCAAGGCCCTGAAAGGCATATAGCCGAACTGTAATGCTAA